AAATATCTCCAGACAAAACCCTCCCCCCCATCCCCCTTCTCCCCCCTCCTGCCCCACAAAATGCTGCTTTACTTTAAACACCCCACATATGCCCAGAAGAGGCAGCTAGTTACTTCAACCCAGCTCACCCGATGTCTGTAAATATTGGATGCTTTATGGGGGCTTTTATCTAATAGCTGACTGAATCAGTTTTAGCTAAAAGTGCCAAAAAGCCCTGTTGACATGCCCGATCTTTACAGACGCTGCAGAGCCGGGTTGAAGTAATGCATTGCTGCTTCCAGTAAAGCACTTTTTTAACATCTGCAGTGTAAAACCAAAATGGCCATGACTCATGGGCACTGAGCACCCACTATTCTTTTTCAGTGGGTGCTTGCGACCCAGAGCACCTACAGAGTTGGCACCTATGAGTGAGAATGAGGAAGAGGACCCACGCACCTTTTGCATCAACTGCTTTTCAAGAACTAAATCCACTTATGTGCCTGGTAGCCAGAATAGAATATGGTCCTGTTTGTTCTAGTAGATTTGTAGGAAACTAGAGATGTCAAACTCTTTTGGTAGATAGGGCATAGTTCCACTTTTAATTACAGCCCATGGGACCATAATTCATTGGGTATAAATTTAGGGCCATATCTGCTTCCATCTGTCTATAGCAGAACTCACTAGTGTTCAATGGGAATTACTCAGTACATGTGGTCTAAGTTTATGACTGAGTTGCTAAGCACTACCACAATACAAACAATTATTAAAAATAAATGGCCTTTCACACATTAAATTATTACCATTAATCATGATATGTTGTTTATCTTATTGCCACATTTAACAACACAGAAAGGAAAAATATCTTCTGCACCATATTTTTTTTCCTTTCCCACCTTGCCTTTCCTTTTTTCCTCTCCTTTTTCCCTGTGTTCCCTGCAGCACCCCTATGAACCACTCCATATGGGATTCACTCCTCCATCAGTGCTCTTTAAAGTTATCCACTGCCCCATAAGGATATTAAAGGGTTTAGAGTTAAAGCCACACTGAGATTAGCAGGTGTAGACAAGTTAAAATTTCCGAATCATTGTAGCAAGCTGTCTGCAGACCCAGGAAGATTTCACTGTGTGAGTTGCATGCAGTCTACATTTGGAAGTCACTGTTTGCAATGAGGAAGGTTAGAAACTTAGTACTTTTAACAAAATGGAAACCCAGATTCTGCACAAGTAAAATAGGTCAAGCAGATCTCATGACTATGCAAACAGGGTGCTTCAGGATTTACATCCTTGTCAAAAAAATTTAACAAATGATACTGGTTTTTACTTTGGGAGTAATATACAAATGTATGTAGACAACATATCACTCATTATAAAACAAGTAACAAGTATCACAGAGATGTCAGCTCTTAAAGGTATGTTTGTAATGAACTATAATAGCAGGACAAGTACATTTCACTATAGGTTTAAGCCTATTCCCCAATGATGTCTTCAGGCTTATACATGTGAACTGGCTTCTACAAGCCAAATATCAGAAACTGAAAGGTTAAAAATGTTTTTTTTCCAAGCCTCTTAATGTAGCCACGTTTTCAAACACTAGGTGGCCCACGTCAGATGTCTAAACCTTTTCCAGACTATTAACTTTCACTAAGGAATGTATATTGCTAGGTGCCAGCACAGCCTATGGCATTATATGAATTTTTTTGTTATCAAAATGAAAACCTGGGTTTTCTCTGGAGACATGAAGAAAGGTACTCTATCAAACTAAGAGAAGACCTAATCTAAGGTTGGGTCACAGAAGTAATATTTGAGAACTGAAAACAGAAAATAAGGAGAATAAAGGGAAATCTTTTGGCACAGGTGAAAAATAACATCTCTAGGTTGGAGAAGAAGGGCGAATGATGAAACAATTTGGAATGAAATTGCTAAAAAAGAGAAAAAACTCTAAATTCTTCTGAACAGAAAAGTATGAGCCAGTGTAAAACTTATACTATATGTAACAGCTTTGTTTTTTGCTTGTGGTATAGTCATAGCAGATGGAAACAAAAGGAAGTCTTGGGTTCCAGAGAATAGCTAAACAGCAGTTACCTAAATGTGGTCACACAA